GCTGCCATTATTTCCACTTCCAACCACGGTGACCACTGTTCATTCTGACTTCCATCAATTTGTTGAATAATTCTGTTGAAAAGCTATGGGTTTTTTAAAATTTCTTGACTCAAAATGCAACTAATCTGCATGCCATTTGATAATAAACCTCCAGTTTTCATTGAGATTATGCCAAATGAGAAATGTAGGATCTCCCTTTCTCTCTAGAGACAGAATAAAAAAGATACACTTTTTAAAAAGGTAAATTGTTAGAAAAATATAAGTAAAAAGAAGAAAATAACTGCCTCAATAAAAGGCATAATGGAAACATTTTGGAAACCAATTTTCAAGTTTAGAATTTGCCACAGTTTTCCCAGATTGTATAGCAAGAAGCATAGTGGTCATGAAGAACTAGATGATGGGAGGGTCTACAGAGTGGTTGTCATTCCTATTGGTTGTTTAATAAAATGACAATATTTTGCTTACATCTGCTGCAAAAGTTAAATACTAAATAAAACAAGTGTCTTGTAATATTAAAAAAAAAAAACAGGAGATAGTGGGAATGGGATATGTGGGGGCTCTTGGTACTATCTTTGCAACTTTTTTGGTTAAATCTAAATCTATACCAAGATAAAAAGTTAAAAAGAAACTGAAATGCTTTTAGCATCCATCTAGCAGAATTTTGAAGGAGTCAACTGAGTTGAGCAGCACTCCTGCCTCTGCCACAAAGACATAGAGTAGCTTACTTCTCACCCCAACCCTAAATATTCACCATCTCCTCTTCTAAGTGGATTTTCAAGGCTCTCCAAGGAACTCTTCATGCTTATTACAAAGTTAACTCAGTAATAGTGATCTGAACCTTCTCATCTGCAGACGGGCAACTGACAAGTTAAATTCAGGCCAGGAATATGAATGAACTCTCTCAGGAGACCTAGTGCCTACCTGCCAGGTAGGGCTGCTCCCCAGGAGGAGAGTCGAGGGTTGGTGTCACCTTGCATATCTCTAGTTACCTGTGCTCAAGTCTGAAGGTGGCTTAGTGTCTTTTCACAAATTCACCTTGATAGCCACTTAAGTATTTTTTGGGTGAAGCCCAGTCCGTAGACAGGGAGCATTCTCTCTCCACTTTAAGAAGTGATGACTCTGCATAGCCAGGCCCAAATTACACTGACCTTTTTGATAGCCATGTCACATCTTGTAGTGATACTCAATTAGACTGCTCAGCTGACCCTTAGGGGTTTTTTTTTCAAGCACTGGAGATTAACAAGATTTTTTTCCCCATCTCACTAAATGTCTGTATTTCTGATTTATGTCTCTATGCATTGATCTCTGTTTCTTGGCCCATTTCTTTCTGGATTTGCAGCTTTTCCCTTCTTATATTCAATTTTCTTTGATGCAATTCTTAATTTGTGTTAGGAAGAAATAATTTCCTGCTTTTAAGATTCTGAAGACCCCCAATAGCTCTGCCATTTGCCGTTTTATGAATGACTGGTAATCAGAGTCCTACTGAAGATGTGCTTAAAAGAGTGCCTCTATGATATACATTTGAGATTTAGGGGTAGCTCTGGTATAATAATTATGAGGATGAAGTAATTGCCTCTTTTCATAGTATTTTCAAGAGGAGGCGGGATTTTTTTTTTTTTTTACTTCATTCAGAAAGTCATGGTAGATTTCCCAACAGAAAAATCTCTGAAAAGGGAAAGACATGTTTCTCCAGGGAAGTGTCTTTCTGGATTTCCTGCTGAGGATACTGAAGCAGCAACAAGCTCAAGTTGTCAACCTTCACGTTCCAGTGAACTACCAGGAAAACACTGAGAGTGCTCACACTCTAAAGCCGACATGCCAATTTGCTTTCCTGTTTAATTTGTCTTCATTGTTACAGTCATCACCACCATGGAAAAGCAGACATTTGTTACCAGTGGCTCAGATGTGAGATGTGAGGATCTTCCAAAGAGAATTGCATATACTTCGGTGGCCATTCTTGCAGTCAATTCTGCCCAAGGTATAAAATAAGATGGATACATCCAGGTAAAGTTCCTGGATGGTAAGAACTGTCTTACTCATCTATTTTTCAGTGTACTCAGCAAAGTGCCCTGTTGTAGGTGCTTAAGAAGTATTTGTTGCATTGAGTCAAATTATGGTGAGAAGAGGCATAAGCAGGCAAAGTGAGTATCATGCCAAATCCCTTAGTTCCCTTAATCCATATACTGCCAACAACAAACTGTAAATTAGAACTGCCACAGATATGTTTGAACTTCTGTTTAAATTCCTCACTAAGTTAGTGCTTCTAAATTTAATACTCTAGTCACATTCCTGGCAGGAGGATAAGCACCGGGATGGAAAATTAGAGAAGTCTAGTCTAGTGCTCAACTTGGCATTACCTTTTGGCAGCAGAAACCCCAGGGCAAAATGCATTTGCTTCTCAGCCTCATTTCCCTTACTTGGCTGTTAAGGGGGAAAAGAGGAGCAAAGCCAACATTTTTAAATCACTTTAATCACTTAGAAGAAAACAGAAATTTTATAGATGCCCATTAACTCTTTGATGGCTGTCTATCATTAGCACCATGCTAATAAATGGCCAAAGAGCAGCCTTCAAAAGCAACATAGCAGTTACATGTCTTAAAAAGTTGCAGTCTGATCATTGGAGAGGGGAGGATACCTACCAATTGCCCATATTTTAGATTGACATGTCTGCAGCAGGATCATCTGAAAACAACACTAGGAGCTCACGCTGGGTGGCCAGGATCACACAGTAGCTGGTTACTGAGTGACTCCCTTTTTTCCTAGATGGAAGTGTAGCACCCAATGGAATTGAAGATGTCCTCCCAAGCAGCGTCCTGCAAATCAAGCATGAGCACCAAAGTTTCCCAGCTGCCTAAGATGTTGGGCCACTGGTAATCCCAGAACATGTTTGTAAGTATCTGACACTCAAAATGCAGACTGCCTGGGGCCAAAGAGCCTATGGATCCCATCATTAATGAAATCATTTTCTTATATGTAGACAAAGAGATAGTTGCATATTCTTCTCCTGGAATAAAATCCACGCTAAGTACTACAGATTATGACCTCTTCATAGAGAGATGGAGAGACTGACTGGACGAATCCCTGTACTTCTGTTTTGTTGGCTCTTGCCTTAAAATGCTTCCTTTCCCCTATAATGCTTATTCTTTAATCTGTATCATGTGGTATTTTAAAAATCACCCAACCCTTTGCTTCAGCAGTAGAAACCTTTAGGGATCCCCTGACACAACAGTATCATAGGGAGAAAAGTGTGGCACTTTGGGATCAAAATCTGTAACTTACCAATAAAACTCCACTGATTAGTTATTTCATTTCTGTGAGTCTCAGTTTCTTCTACTTTAAAATTAGACTGACAACCATCTCAAATTGTTCTGGTATTAAATAAAATGATGTGGCAGGCCCTAGCATGAAGCATGAACTCAGTATTTGAGTTCTTTTCCAATGTCTCCCATCCTCTCCTAGCACATTCACCTTTTATTTCTAAAATTATGAAAGAAATTGTGGAAATGGGGGAGAAAGCACTGATGAAGTTTCATGAGATCAAGGACTAACAGTGGAGAGGATCAAGGCAAGGAAGTGAGGATGGCTTTAGAACAAGGGTGAGAGATTTCTGGGAAGCCTTTTCTCTTCTGACTTCAGGTGTGCTTGGAGATCACCATCTCCTCTAGGCCTAAGTAAAAGGAAGTTGCAGAAGATTTTTCTATTATTCTTTATCTAACCTTAAATAAAGATAGATGCTGATGATTTCTTTACTTCTTTTAGTGCTTGTGAGGTCTGCCTGGTACTCAAGAGGCACAGTAACAGATGCCAAAGGACACAGTTGTATTTCACAACAGCACCATCTTCCCTTTTGAAAAGCATAACTGGTACATTGCATAAACCTCCCTGCAAACTGTATTAAGTAGTAACCATTCCCAAAGACAAAGGCTATGCTGTTCAGAGGCTGCCAGGATTTGCTTTCATTTATGACCACATGATTTATATCAGACAATGGCAGCAGCGGCAATCATAATCACTCTGGAATTCAGCTTAGATAGACTCATAATTCTTTAAATGGGTACAGTAGCTTTCAGGCTGTCAGAATAAAGGAGGAATCATTTATAACATCAGCATCTTAACAGGATAAGGGAACAAATAGAATCCTATGTATATCAGAATGAGATAATTAACTCATTGCTAATATGAACCACAATGTTTTTGAGGCACAAAAAAAAAAAAGACATTTCCAATCTTTTCCTTCTTTTTTGAGTCAGTCTGACCTCTGGACTCAAAATACTCATTTGTAAATGACATGCTCAGGATTAGAGGTAGAGACAGATCAGACCAAATATGAGCTCAAAGGCAAGAAGCTCTGTTATTATTAGTTATTTATCCTCAAAGCTGCATTGATTTTGCCATTTCTAAATTCTATTAACTCTATGCCTGTATACCCAAGCCCATAAAGAATTAGTTCCTGTTTAAGTTTTTCCCCTCCTAGGGAATTTTTCTCATGCTTCTATGATGAGTTTCAAAAACACCTTTCAAAAGAAGAGAGCCCAAGTCATTGCTTATCAAAGTTGGAGCATGATAAACTGTCTTCTCCTCCTGGGCCCAGTCTCATATGAAGGAAAGTGAAATGAGAAAACTTTATCTTGAATTTATACAGATTTTAGAGTTTGTAAACCACGTTCACATACCACAATTGGGAGTATCAGGTTCAACAGGGGAATGTACATATAAGTGAGCCTCCTTCACTATGTCAAGGTAGATGAAATGCCCACCTAATTCACTACAGCCATGTGGGAAAGGTCCTGAATTTGGAATCGGATAAGCCTTATCTTTGCCATTTACCAGCTGTATCTTACCATAAGGACAATCACTCAATCTCTCTGATGCTATTTTCACTATTCTAAAGTGGAATTATTTGAACTCGATACTCACTAGGACCTCATTCGGTTCTAATGATCTATAGTTATGTATTCTGTTTTACTCACTTCTAAATCTCTTATTTTTCAACCAGGAATTGAGGCAGTCCAACAGCAGAAGTATTTCAGGATGTGGGCTAAAGAGCAGAGTGAGATGATACAGGAGAGACTCCAAACCAAGAGAAGCACACGGAGGATTCAGCACTGAAAACCAAGCCCAGGCAGAGCTCACAGACACAGGAGACTTGCAAGGAGTGGATCTGGCTGGGAGCAGAGGCATTGCTTGTACTCCTGTCTCAAAGTGCTGGGTGACAGGGCACATCAGGAACGCCTAGACAAACCCTAGCACAAGAAGCCCAGGGAATCCACCCTGAAAATACTTAAAGCTAGCCACACCATCCAAGAGAAGGGCTTCTATAAAGGTCTGGAAGCATCCATGAAGATTATATTTGCTTCCTTCTTAAACATTGCCATCTGAGAAGTCTGCCTTGCAGCTAGAAACCAGGATATTCGTGGGAGCTGAATGGGAAAGATAATTTATATATATATATATTTTTTTTTTCAAAAGTTGTTACCACTTCATAGGGGCAAGCCTGTTGAAGATCCACAAGCAATCAGATAAAGTGAAGGATTTAGCAGAAAATTGGAAGAACAAGGTAGGAAGAAAGAAATCTGTTTTTTCATTGAGAATACTCATTTAAGTGGTGAATAAAAGGTTCACAAAAATGGTAGAGAATTATTTGCAAGAAAAAGGTTTTGTAGAATCAATGGCTTGTGACAGTAATGGTTAAAAACTGTAATTAAGGTGTCATGTTTTAGCAAAGTCTAGTTCTAGAAAAGAGTAGTCGGTGGCTAATAGAATTTGAGGTCCTGGTCTTTTAGGAAAAAAAATCAGCATTCTTTCTGTTACTCAACATGAACTTCCCAATGGTTCCTTATTCCAGTGAACATCAGAAACAGCAAATCTAGTATCGGAGTTCAAAGAAAAATAGATTAAAAGAAAAAAGTCCTAATTCCAGTGGCAGAGGATATCAATAAAAAAGAGGACAGAAAATGTCCCTAGTGTGTTAGATGGATTTGCCTTTGATATAATGTTTTAAATGACATGATTGTATAGAAGGCAAAAATGGGTCTTTGTGATGTTACTTATTACTTCATTACAGGCAATTCTTAAAAAGATATGACCTATTTTGATATCTGACCATTTACCTTCTACACAATAATGTTAGAATTGGAACAGGACTTAATTTTTTTTTTTTTCCTTCAACAGACTCTTTTTGCATCAGATGAGGGGAAGCTGAGAACCTGGGAGAAGTGAATTGATGCCCCTGGAAATCTGACCAGGTGAGATTGGAGGAGATGCACCCAGGACCAGAACCTTTCACTGCTTCCAGATAGCTTTCATTTTGCTCTTTTAAGCATTTTCCAAAGTCACCTGTAGTGCTTTCCACTCTGTTCCTTATCCCTATTTTCTCTTTCTTCTTCTTCCCCCCTCCTGTCCATTGTCTGGTTATTACTATTGTTTAGAATTTTGAAATTTCTAGTTAACAGAATTCTAACAGTTCATAGTGTCTCATTAAAGACTACACTTTCCTTTTTGAGTTAATTCTATTCTATTTTCTATTTCCAATGATTCTGACCTATCCATCAAAGAC